TATATATATATATATATATATATATATATATAATAAAATTCATAGTCTTTTCGCAATGCTGTTTCTAAATGTATTATCCGCTGAGGGGGAACTGGTTTCTCAAATTTGGAGAAACACTGGTCAACAACTTAACAAGTTAACACATTTCAGGGTTCAGGTCTCAACATCTTAACTCCACAAAAACAATTTTGACACACAAAAAATACACACACACACACACACACACACACACACACACACACACACACACACACACACATCACATTATCCAGTACAGTTTGAGCATGCTGTATAGGCCATATGGCCTCCGAACCTCCATATGGACACACAGGACCAGGTGTCTGAAGCTATGGCAACGCCTTTAACTGCCCCTCTGTCACCCTAAATTAAGGTTTGTATTACTGGCCACTTTGGTAGTGGTGTAAGCACTTACCCTAAAGACTAACAGAGCTTTTGTGGGCATGCACAACAACAGGCTGCTGAGGGGAGCACAATTTACAACCTCAGCTCCTTGACTTTTGATACTGCTTTCTGTTTACTTTGCTAATATAAACATCGCACATTATTTTCTGAGCTATAATACTTGCAGAATTTACATATTTCTGATTAAATTTCAAATAATTGATAACAATTTGCTAAAACTTTATTAATAAAATAAGGAATCATGTAATTTATGGATGCAAAGAGTTCAGTACTGATGTGATTATTTCTGGCTTCTCGTTTTACTGCCTATTTTATCCTCCCATCCCCCCATAAATCTCCCAAAAACCCCGACCCACTTCTATACCTTCTCTCCCATCCCTGCATCCTTCTCTCAACTCCTTTTCTCCCTCTCCCTCCTTCCTCCTCCTCCTTCTTCCCTCTGCTACTCTTCAGGGTCTGGAACCAGACTCTCGTCTTCCAGCCCACCGCCATCAAACAATACATTCACGAGCCAAAGGCAACACACACCTACACAAGCACATTTTGAGGGCTTCCCCAAAGTGAAGTGCTGAAGCATGCCTCTCCTTTGCTTTCATCCTTAAAATACAGACTGTCTGCTTAGCCAGGTTTTCAGGTATATCGGATACTCTGACAGAATGCTGTGCAAACTTGTCTGTAAGTCAGCTGGCTAATGGAAGGA